ACTTTCAAGAGTAAACTCTGTGGACATAAATTAAATATCTCAGCTTCCCTGAATATTATTTCCTCCCATGAGCTCCAAAGGCACTTAGAATCTTAATTATGGATCTCCCATTTTCTGTCCATCCTATGGCACTTTGATGGCTGTCTGATCTCCCCTCATAGACTGACAGATAACATGGATAGATCATGTTTAATTCAACTTTGTCAGTTTAATTCCATCCTCTCGTCCCCAAAGCTCCTAGCATAGTGTCTTGTACACAGTGGGGATTTACTGAGTATGTTTTTCTGAATGAATGATAATCTGCCTGTTTTCATTTAGAAAGAATACAAAAATGGCATTAAGATTTTTGTGTGTGTGGAATTTACACAAAATTTGTTTAAAGGGACAGTGTAAATCTTTTAAAAATTAATTCTTGTTCTTATGAAAGCTACTTTTCTCCAATTTAATAACTATTCATACCTAGGGCTAAAGATAAAATGTCTGTGAATGACATTAAATTACCCTAAATAAAACATCAGTAACATTAGTTTTCTTGATTCTAATATCTCCATAAGACTTCCATAACAATGTTTGTCTTGATTAATTATTAAAAATTTCTCATATTTTCTAGATATGATTCCTAATTAAGCTTCGCATTGCTCTGTTGAAATTGTATTTAAGTCTACCAAATGTTTTAGCTCGCTTCTGCATTGAGTAGTCAGTGTTTAGCAGATTATTTAAAACTAGTAGGTCAGTAATAATTTATGAAGACCTGAAAACGTGTGGGATAATTATGAGTGTCTGGGTCTTGGGAGACCTAATTCTGTTGTTGGAAGTGGTATGGAATTTGTGGTTGGAGACATAAATGTCTGTGGTAAATGATTAACATACAGAGTAAAATCCAATCGTACACACACTATTAAAGAGAATGTTATGATGTAAGAGGAATATGAATTTTAAATGCTCACATATTTTGTTATTAAAACCCATAAATGCTGTGTACAAATGACATACACTAGTATTAGTTTTAGACAACTTATGCAGGAACTATCTCTTTTTTATAAGATTTAAAAAAACACAATTCTCATAATTGTAAATATATTGCTATGAAATAAGAGGAAAGTGCAAGAAACCCATCTAAAATCAAAGACAACAATACATAATTTGAAAGTTGTGAAATATTCAGGATATATTTCATTTTAATCTAAAATAATATTGGAAATCTTGTCTTGTAGGTATATTACACAATAAAAGCCAGAGCTCAACAATTAATCTTTTTTAAATTTTTTCCAGAAGGCTGACCAATATGGACCTGACTATGGATGCAGGTGGTCAGCTTTGAATGTTCACTAAAGTAATATGTTGAGGAATTCATTTATAAATGACAAGCACTTTTAGTGGCAACATCCACTGAATTCAGTATTTCTTGAGCATAGGTTTTTATGTGACAGTTCAGCTCCTTATCAAATGAATACTTTCACCTTGCTTTTCAAGTGAACCGAGTTCCTATGGGTAAATGACTTTTTGATTCCATAGTATCCTGCTGTATTTTAAAGATTTGGACATCATGCCATCATTCCTTGAAATGGTTTAGCAATTTTATATGAATAATTTTTAAAAGGAGGAGGATTTTTCCACCTATGAAATATTTTAGAAAAATGTTTCCATAAGAACCTTCATAATTTAGTATATGATAATACTTTTTTATCATAAAATAGGCTGAAAATTTTAAGAGAAAATTTGCCTCCACATTAAAAAAATATTATATTACTCACACACACACACACACACACACACACACACACCCCCCCCCCCCCCCCGCCACTGTCTTTACATCATCAGCATCTGGGATGCCACCAGCCTCCCCTCTGCCTCTCCCTGTCACCACACAATTCTTTTGAGTTAATAAAGCCATTGTAATAATTTTAATCTGCATGTCTTTTTCCATACCTACCCCTGTATGTGTGTGTGTGT